AAGGATGCAAGAATTGCTAGACGATCAACAAACCTACGAGAAGTGACTAAACCTCCCTTCAAAAAAATCGAACGCGACCTAAACGCACATTTACTTCAACTGAAACACGAACAGAAACTAGACCAAAACACGTACAAAAAACTGCATTCTACGGACGCCATACCATCCGCCATACCATCCGTCATACCATCTGCCATACGAGGATCTGTCAAACACCACAAACCTAACAATCCACTCCGTCCTATCGTTACATGTAGGAAGACAGCTCTTTATAACACCTCTAAATTTCTCTCAAACATTCTGTCACCCTTACAAAACCACAACGGTTACTCTGTTAACAACTCCACTGGCTTTGCCAAGAAACTCCCTGAAACTCACATTGACGATGACGAAATCATGGTGTCTTTTGACGTTGTATCACTTTTTACAGCAACTCCAGTTGACAAGGTATGTGAACACATACGCAACAAACTCGAGAAAGACAAAACCTTACATCACAGAACCAAACTATTTTAATTACAACAAGAAAACCTACAAACAAATTCACGGTTGTGCTATGGGAAGTCCTGTTAGCCCTATTGTGGCAAACCTCTGTATGGAGGAGATTGAGGACACAGCACTTAACAAATCAAGTACCACATAAGAAATGGTTTCGCTATTATGACGATGATGTCTTTTCTATCATTAAGAAACATGCGTTGACCAACTTTTACAATTTACTTAACTCCATCGATTCGCGTATTAATTTCACCACAGAACAGGAACTCGACAGAAAACTTTCATTTTTAGACACTTTAATCACACGCAACAACGGATCTCTTTCCATTGACGTATACCGGAAACCTACACACACTGACAGATACTTAACTCGCACCATGACAAATAACACAAAGTTAGCACTGCACTGACACTCTTACACAGAGCAGCAACATTACCAAACACAAACGAAGGAAAACAACAATAACGCAAACATATAACAAACACGTTGATGACAAATGGCCATCCTAAGAAATTCCTACAAGTAGAACATAAACGTATCATGCAACAAAACCAAACTCCTTCACCCGAAGAACTTGTACGTTTATTTTTTGATTCTGTGGAAACGATGACCAACTATAATTATGCCGTCCTTCCATACATCAAAGGATGCCATCACAGAGCCACTGAAACGAATTCTAAAACTTTATGACATTCGAGTAACCACGAAACCTCTCCGCACATTAGAGCAAATATTCCTTTCGACTAAAGATTGACCACCACCAGAAGATCAGACGAACGTAGTTTATCTGATTGCTCATGGAGCTACATTGGAGAGACAGGCAGAGCCTTCAAAACTAGGAGAAGAGAACACGAAAGAAACGTGGAGAAATGTAAAAGTGGCTCAAACATCGCGAACCATGCGTGGAAAAACGATCATAGAATTGACTTTGTAACCGGAAAAATTATTGACAAAGGCAACTATCGACACAGATCGACATTAGAATCTTGGCACACTGCATGCATTGAAAACTCGGACAATAATTCAAAACATTTGCCAGAACAATACCGCTTTCTGCTAAAAAAACCCCGCTAAAACCTTAAATTATTTACAATGTGAATAGTCATTAACCTTGTAATAGGCGGAACTGTCAATAATTGCATGTTGTGTCAGTATATTCTAATTGTAAACCACTGTACAGTAGCTAAATATCACATCACTCACTTTAATCTACCCGTCGAAGAGCTTTGATTTAATGTAAAATTTAACCTGAATAGCTAGGTAAAATGTTTTGAAATGTTCATTTTAATAACTAATAATAATAATACTAATAATAATAATAATAACTACTACTAATAATAATAATTTAGCACACTTTAATACAGGTTCATTGAAAAGGAAAGCAGTGCATGTTTTACGAAATAAATTAAAGCAACAAAATTCATAAACATTAAACATTCAAAGCAAACTTGCCCTATATTTCACGATTTCCCACAGTAAATCAATTCTTCTCATTTCCTCGAACAAAAATTGCTTCAAAGCTCATTGTGTGAAACGTGATTTTCCAAATATATGCTTTTGAAAATTGAAATCTTGCTTATCCCACTCCTAGCAAACAGCCATATTTTTGAGATCATTGAGAATGACAGCCCACGGTTGGTGACCCACGCCCGCGATCATTGATGAACTTTAGACTTCGCTAATGCTCCCCTCCCCCGGGTGTAAATAGCCGGGCGGAATTAGTACCCTCGCCCCGGGCTAACGCCCGGAACGGCGCTCCGCGCCGTTGGCCCGGGGATTATACTGGGGTAGGTTTTCTATTGACTTTTTAAATAAATCTTCAAAATAAATAGATGTTCGATAATGTGTTGACTAACGGACGTATTAACATATTGCAAATTTATAACTTGTCTTGTTTGTATTCAGCTAGAAAATTTACACGGTTTATACATAACGGAAATGCCTGTACGTGTCAGTGCTTTTCCCTAGAAGACTTTAGACAACAGCAAAGGTCAAACGAACGTTCATCACTTTTCTAGGTCGAAATAATAAGTAACATTTTGCTCTTTGAAAGCAGAGTTTACAGTAAACGGTAAACATTCTTATTTGATCCAAACTGCTGAAAGTCGAAAATGTTGATATTTTGTTGGCCTGTAGTACCCCCAAAATTTACAGGCTGCAATATTTTATTTTACAATATGTAAGTCCAATCTCACCATACAAATAATATCACATTCACGGCAAGTCTAACTTTTGAATTTTAGGGGGTTTATTTAATAACCTATTTTTAAGGAACTTGGAAATCTCTATTTTAGTCAATCTTGAATGATGTCATTTCTATATTTAGAAAACATATTTGAACAATTTATAAATACCTTGATACTTATAAAGGCATATAAAGCTACTATTGTGTGGAAGGATTGAGTCTTATCATTATTTTTGTTTGATGTACAGAGGTTTAAAAATCAGTAAAAATCCACTATTGAGAAACAACAAAAATTACTTTAGCCCTCAACTTGACCCTCCTGTAACTTTGCCAAAATGCAATTAGACTGAAAACCAAATGTATTATCAAACGACCCTTATAAAGGCAATCTCAACTACAAAGTTTGAGAGGAATGTATTTGTTGATCCAAAAAGGTCGTGAGGTTCTTACAGAGACTACCACCTCTTAAGTCGTGTTTACACTACAAGCCTTGGTCTAGCCTTGGCCAGACCAAGGTAAATGTGGTGCGTTTACACCATTACACTATTTTTTAGAGACTGGCTCACCTTGGCCTAGAATTTTGTAATTGATTTTGTGTATTTTATGTGTTGTGACGTTGTCCGCTGGTTGTCCGCTAATCTCTCACTGTCGACACACGTTGCAATGAAAATAAGGCCCAGGCAAGGGCCGAAAGTGTTTACATTTCCACAAGCCTAGGCCTAGGCCAGGCCTACGCCACCGGTTGTAGTGGGCCCAGATTTCCTGGCTTAGGTCAGGCCAAGGCTAGGCCAATGTCTGTTTACACTGTCAAAATGTAGGCCAAGGCTGGTAGTGTAAACACAACTTTAATTATTTTTGAAAAAAGATAATTTGCATAATTCGGAGAATTGTAATATTTACTCATTAATTTTTTTGGGAATTTTTTCAACACTGATTAAACTGGCCTAAACCAAAGACTGGCTTTAGCAAAAAAACTTTCCTTAGTTACAGAACATGGGCAACTGAAGAACCAGCGAGTGAAATTACTAATTATTCACGAATTATCTTTATCATCATTATTCTAACGGCGGTCACAACCATGCATTATATATTCTGCTACAATAAGCGTGCTTTGCATATAAAGATTAGTGAGCTTAAGCAAGCGACGTTGGACGTCACCCGAAAATTGGTAAAACTAATTTTGGCGCGGCCTTTTGCAACATAATGCTCGTGCAAGGAAGCAAAAAAATATCAGTCTAGAAATGTTATGTTTTGTCAAATTGTCATATGTGTTGAAGATTACCAGATACACAGTTTTTAATCCAGTCCCCTCTCGGCAATCGTCATTGACGTCCGTGTTGACAAAAACGTCGCTTGCTTAAAGGAGCATTGTCACCTGGTGCGCACCTTTTCTGCGCACATGAAATTGGAAAACTACGGCAGTAGTTTTTCAAGTTTTCCAATCCAATATGCCGGATTCGCGAGGCGAATTCACAAATTATATGCAAGAGAGGACTATGAGAGAGTATTTTAGGCACCGAACAATTTCTGATAATTTCCGAAATTTTGTTGTCATGCGCTGAGAAGATGCGCACCAGGTGACACTGCTCCTTTAAGCTCGCTAATAAATCTATGGTGATCGTGGTAAACCATGGGCAAATGTAATCGTTTATGGAACCTAACGCTCAAAAAATCCAGGAAGTATATGCATTTTAATTTATTTGAAATTTTGAATTAACGCCGTTCGTGAAGTAAATTAATGTTCTGAATACCATACATCTGTACTCACCTAGTATATGCCCGGATATCATGGGAAGTCTCGTAAAGATTTGCATAAAGTTATTGTATTATCTAATGAGAAAAATGCTTGAGCCATTGAGAGATCAGACCACATGCTCGAACTATTTATGTAAACTGCTAGTATGTTAAATGTGGTAGATAGTAGTAGTATTGCAGTTTTATTAGGTGCAATTCTACCTATCTAAACAGGTGCCATGGATCCAGCCTGAACGTTCGCACTACAAAGCTATTTACATGAGCTAAGGACAAAAAGTTTTAGTTGGTGTACCCCTCCCTTGTATAGTCAGTGCCAGCCTCTCTGTTGAACGTGTGAAGCCCGACTCTTAACGTGTGAAGGGTCGCTGTTTACATGTTGACTCGCTGTAACAATAAAACAAACATTTCAAAGAATCCAACAAACATTTGCCAATCTCATATGAAATTTAAAATGCAAATGTTATTGTAATGTCGGTATAGTATTGTTTGGATATTGTGGAGTGTTTTCTTTTAGTTAGAAATTTTAAAAGAATCCATCTTATATTTATAAGATAACTGAAGATAATATTCTATTGAGAATTTTATATACAGTAATTACATTCGAAATCAAATATTTATTTGCTAGTTAAAAAATTACTGATTATAAGTTTTATGACATGCATATGTAGTCGACAGCATTAAAACTTGAAATATTACTAAAACCGAATCGCTGTATTGTATTGTATTGTACAAAGTGTTCATGTTTACATGCAATTTCTCACGACATTTTATGATTTACCAATGCAGATTACCACATCTGAAAGTCAGCGAAATCGTCGATGAATAATCGTAGCTTTCCGTTCGTTCAAATACGCAGTAAAGAAAACGTTTTTGATATTTCCTTTCTAAACTCTTCCATGCATGATTGTCAATAAATTCGTCTTTAATGTCTTCTTAACTCCTGCTGGGTTAGCCTGGGTATCAGGCCCTGTTTTCCCTTCCCTGGAGGGAAGCGAAAAAGGCCTGACACAAATCCCTGTCTGGCCGCACGTAAAAAGCCAAAATCCAGCTTTTCACCAGATTGGTCTATGAGACAAACATTTTTTATCTGTCTTTTTGATTGGTTAGTATTAAATAGATTATACCGTATATTGCTCATAATATATTTATTAGTTTGAACTATAATTAGATTCTTGTTGTAAATGTGTGAAATTGCAGACATTTCCCCTGGGAGGTACATTTTGATTAGATATTAAATATAAACTTTACTGTGAAGTCGAGAGCGAGCAGGTTGTGTCAAGCTCTATTTGTAACAGAGGCTGATACTCAGGCTGCGGGTTGGTCAATCAAACGAATGTATCTCATTATTGCACCTTTATCACTTGCAAACTGTACTTCCGTCTTAAGCACGTGTACCATCGGTTGCATCTAAAGATGAACAGTCAGAGAAAGAAAAAAGTTTCCTATTTTCAGATGAAACTTTGATATTTGTAAAGGTTTTCAAGGTATAATTGTGCACAGTCAATCAGTGTGGGAGCGACTGATCCGATTATCTTTCACATGCATTTTTCTCGAGTGTTCTGATTCATCATGTGCATAAAAGTTTACCATTTCTGAAAGTCAGCGAAATCATTGATGAACAATCGTAGCTCTCCGGTCTTGTCAAATGCGCAGTGAAGGAAGAGTTTCTTCTCTCGAAATTTCCTTTCGCAAAGGACGCCAAAATCTTTCACAAGACGGCGAATAAAATCAGCTTGAATGGTTTGGAGAACATCAAGACTTCGGTCGTAAATGAGAAGCGTGTACGGCGTTCCCCCAATCATAGATATGGTACGATCGAAATCCAGTTGCACTTTAACAATGAATCTTTTCCCATCTCGTGGTGGAGGAGGGCTGTACTTTGGTCCAACACCATCAACACTTATCGTGTGAATATAAGCCCTAAGAACCATGTCGTCTTGAAAATTGTGCTTCAAGGAAGAGAGCAAAAAGCTGGACTTCTCGCGTAAGACCACGCATAATTTCTTGTGTTTGGACCAGTGTCTTTTTTGGCAATTCAGGTCGCAATACCCAGCAGTGAAGCATTTCCCACACAGTTTCAAATCTTTAAACTTTCGAAAGCACGCAGAACAACAAGATGAGCATAGTTTACCAGTAATTCTTTCTTCGTTGTTGTACTCAACGTTCTGATCGTATTTTGCAGATTTACAATCACCACTTGTTGTTGGAAAAAGAAGATAGTCATCGATAGAGTGAAGACTGTCAACATATCCAGGGCCAAAATTATCATGGGACGTGTTCAATTCAACAACTGAGGGAGATAATTCTTCTCCGGTGCGCCGTTTTCCTCCAATACGAACTCCTCCAAGTTTGTTACGGAAAGTTTCATTCATCGACACATTCCACCGATAATAACTGTCCAACCAAATACCCCAAGCTTCGTTATCATAAAACTTGTTCTCTCTTAAATCAACTTTCGAATTCCTCACAAATATACCACTCTCGTAGTTTTCAAAAACACAATTTCTCACGAGAGTGACGCACTTGGAATCGTCAACGGCAGCAACTCCTTCGCGTGCATTGTTATAAATTTGACAATCAAATACGTCACATTGTGCCACCCTTGGTCCTATTCCCAAGCCATCCCATCCGTTGTTATACATGCGACTATTCCTCACTGTCAGTATTCCATTTTCGCGCACTTCTAAGCCAAATCTCACATTAGCTGAAAATGTGCAGTCATCAACAACCATATTACCAGGCCCCCCGCATAGCAGCCCACCGGCTTTGCAGTTAGTAAAATTACATCGTTCTGCGTTAAACTCACCGGTAGTACCAACAGCTGCCAAAGTATCACTATTGGAAGTAAAATTACAGTTAAGGATCTTGACCAAAGAACCACCCAAACCTATGATTTGACCTTCGTCAATAGCAAAAGAAAGATTTGCAAGCATACAGTTTTCAGACAAGTGAAGCAATGTGTTACCTTCGAGTTTCAAAGTGATAGAGGCATTGGATTTTGCACCAATTATGATGCAGTTTTTCATCGGGACAACAGGCAGAAACATATCCATCTCTAAAATATACTCCTTTGATCCCAAAATTATAACCCGCAGACATTCTTGTGTATTGCTTTCTTGTGAAAGCAGTATCGCCAATAAGTCATTTGGAGTATGACATATAGAGATACGCTCCTTTAGGCCTGCGAAAGCTGCTATGAATGGCTTATATTGTGAAAAAATACATCTACCATCTTTTAGGTAAAAATAGTAATAAGCTAGTGCTGCAGGAATTCCAGCACTGACTTTCTCATCAAGTGCCAAAGCCTTCCTAGCATACCCCTTCCAGCATTCTGGGAATCGAGATATATATTCATTTGCATCTTTCAAAGCGTCATCAAGCTGATTAAGCTTGATATAAGCTGAAGCACGGTTAGTTAGCAATAAAGAGTTGAAGACAGTTGTACCTCTACTCATATCTATGGCAGCAGAATAAGCATCTACCGCTTCTTTGTAAAGACCCTCGCTAAAATTCTTATTTCCCTCCAATTTAAGCTTATCTATGTCCCCCTCTAAATCAGGCGACTCAGTAGGCTTTTGCTCAAGAGGTTGAAGGGAACACATAGGGGGTACAAAACATTTTTTTATTACAATCTGCAGCCACTTTGGCAAAGGAATGACATGGAAAGAAAACAGAGAGTTATTCGAAAGATTGTTTTGTATTGTGTCGTACTGTTCTACAGGAATCCAATCTAGTATTCGATAAACAAAATTTAGTGTGCGTTTAGCCTCTTCTTGTTTCTGATTAGCACTTAAATGAACAACGCATTCATAAAAAACTTTGGCAGTTTCGAAAACAAAAAGCGAATCAAGACATTTTCGATCCAGGTTTGCTAGTAATTTCTCCACATTCTGTTGAAGATGAAAGCCATGAAAACAAAGCTTAGACCACAAGTAATATTGAGAATGGTTTCCACGCAAATCATAGGCTTTCAAGCGCTCTTCCATACCAACATTACCCAGTAGATGTTTTGGAGATGCGCATTTAGAAAATGCGAAAGAAAGCAAGCGTACTGCATCAACAAAACTCTTAGCTTTTTCCTCAGGATCAAGATTTTCCCTGACTAGCTCTTGAACTAGGCGATGGGTACTGACAGAAAGCGCTTGGACACACGTGAAAAGTGAGAAATCAGTCAGCAGTTTAACAACTTGACGACAACCGAGAGGTGAGCTCACACGATCACGAAATTCTTGGTCTTCAATTGGACGTTCACCAACATTGACTAATTCCTCTTCGATTTCGCTTGGATTAAGGAATGCAAAAGCGTTCATGAGTCGGATGGCGGGCATACCGTGCCGGCTTTCTTGGATGTATCTGATATTTAACAACCATGTCGTGTGAACCGCCAGGCGTTCAGGCGATTCATAGACTGATACTGGCTTTGCTTTCTGACTTTCCAACAGTTTCAAGCGTTCAGTTTGAAATTGCTCAAGGTACTCAGATAAGCTGCAACGAAGAGCTTTAATACAAGCTCCTGCTTGCTCTAGAGCGAGTGGCAATCCTCCCAGCTCTTTAACTAGACTTTCGGCGACACTGTTCGTGTTGTCATCGCGAGTCAACTCCGTTCTGTAAAATATAAACTGCTTCGCCTCTTCTTTGTCTAGACATTTCAGACTAAAACAACGATCTTTACGAAGATTTGAAATCTCATCTACAAGCTTATTTTCATTTCTTCGCGTCATCACAACAACAGCTGCTGAGAAACTTTGTCTTGAAACGAGGGTAAGAAAATTCATTACATGAGGAGAAAGATCCAACTGATCTAAGCAATCCAAGACGATTAAACATGGTTTACTTGTCTGGCCAATTCTTGTGACAGTTTCTCTCAATGTTAAGTAAAATGTCCCGAGTAAGGCACCAAGGTTCCACGCAGTTTCATTGACAGACTTTTCAAAAAATGTATCATCTTCTGCCGAGAACCAGTAAACACCACCTTGGTAATATTCCTTCATCCTGTGAGCATACTCAGTGACAAGACTTGTTTTGCCAACGCCCCCTAAACCACAGACTGCCGCAACACAAACTTTTCCTTCGCGCCCAGCATTGTCAAGATTTAGAATACGTTGAAGATCTCGAAGTTCTCGAGTTCGTCCGGAGAAATACCGGTTTCTGTCTGGAGCGTCGAAAACATAAGGAATCTTTTCTTCTTGCTCACTATAATATTTCGAGAGTTCCGTGTTGACCTTTTCAACGTTTTCATGAAGACGTTCTAATTTCTTTGTGTTCTCCGCCCCACGCTTTTCACATTTTTCCATCCTGCCAAGCAGCTCACACAACTCTTTCTCAAAGTTCGATTGTATAGTAGCAAGTTTCTCAAGGAATGTATTCATCTGCAGATATAGAAGTATTGTAAAATTAAATACCTTTCACGACGCAAAAGCCAAACAAAACACCTACTGTACAGTACTATATACTGTGTACTCCAGACATTGCATCTCGGCTTTAAGAGCGGTTGTCTGTAATAGTCAGGTAAGACGTGTAAAATGAGAAAATTCAAACTCGTTCAAACTTTGTCAGAATATAGGCCTATATGAAGTATTAATGTTGTGAAAGTTTTATTTGGATCGGATAAATATTGAAGGAGGGAGACGTCGAAATTGGTTTTCCCAGGCCACTTTCGATTTTTAGAGGTCATTTTACGGCACTACCAAAATCGCTCTATTTTGCGCGTTAATGGGAATATTTCACAAAACATGATTTCGTTTTATAAATTAGAGATATTTATTGATTAGCAGACGAAATTTAGAGACATTTCTGTGAAAAGTGAATATTTTACAGATTTTCTTAATGTTTTTTATTTTCGAACCTCCTTATTATATGCCATATTAGGCAACGAATATCTCCATTGTTACATCGATTCAGACAAAAAATTCATAACCAGATCAAAGAAATATGTTTTCCCTTGCTATTGATCAACTAAAATTTTTGGGCAACTTAGAATTGAATTTTTAACGAATTTTTTCGTAACCCCTATTTGACCGGAATAACCGTATGTTAATATAATCAGCGTCGAGTCATGTAGTTCAATAAATAACCAAAGAGCTCGTCAAAAGCGTTTATTTCTTCGAGTAAACAAGCCTAGGCCTATAAAACTACTTTTGCTAAAGCTGTACGATTGGCTGAAAGCATTTAGGTCTAAATCACACTGTTTACAGTCGCTTCTTGTTCAGGTAATGCCCGATAGCCGGTGCCGCTGATTTGGCAGATTTGGTTTCAATTATATTTTATCAGGGATATGCCGCGATAAGTATAGCGAGTATATTTTCTCTCCCCCTCCCATAAACTCGTGTTCTCACATAAATAGTGCACACGCTTTTTGTAAAAAACATAGGCCATTTGCAAGGTCATACGATGCAAACGTCGCATTGTTTTGACGTTTTTTTAGTCGTATTTCCGGTTGGGATAGCTCACGCGATTGTCCGAACAAAAATATAGACTAGCCATACCTTTCGCCGAAAATAACTTCGACCTCTTCAAACATATCGTCTTTGTAATAGTCTTGTTCGAATCCCCATCAAAAACACTATTTAGAGTGTTATTTGCAAGCCTGTATCTTCAAATTTGCATCTTTTATCACGGTATTTCCATTTCTTGTCCGCCTGTGAGCTCGAGGCTCGAAGTAATTTGATAGTATACGATCGCATTTGACTTTCAAACTCCCATAAATCGCTACAATGTTAATAATGACTATAACTATCGTTTGGAATTAGTTGATCTTTTATTTCTGAATCGAATGGTAGTATTTCTGTCTTCATAGGCATAGCATGTACTGATCCGAAGACATGAAATTTCTAGCCGCGTCAACCTCTCGAGGACGACCTCGCAAAGAGTTTTAATTTAATTAATATTAAAGCTGGATTCTTTCACCGTGATGTCATGCCAAAAGGTGTCTTTTCCATTTCTTAAAATGTCCTTTAAAAAAGTCCCGGCTCTATATATTGATTTGTGATTTGGTAATATTAATTACAGTTGTATATTTGATTATTTTGTTAGTGCTCAATAAGTTTGAATTTGTTCTGAGAAAACAGTCAAACTTCAGACCAAACTTCTACGCTGTTGCTTATTTAGTAGTTTAATTAACTGCCCATCACTTTTAAAACAGCAAGAAGATAAAGACAACGTGTACGTGTGAGTTATCCATGAAATAAATAGTTGTCTGAAAAGTATTTTG